CTGAGGTACTGCCCTAGCCTAGAGAGGAGAAGTCGAGATGCAGAGGTTGGGTTAAACGACATAACGACAAACGTTATTGTGGTCTTAGTAAATCCAATCGAGACAGTGGAACTGACCATCTGACATATCGGAGAGATGAAGACCTGGAACACAATCCACATCATCTGATGGGTTTTCCAAGTACGATGCAACGGGGCGGATTCGGGACGATTCAGTTCTGGAAGATCGTGTGTTACTGGGTAATGGTGGTGCAGCAGATAATGAGGTCTGGGGTTTTTCCGTGCTTAAAGAACACTGCGACTTTGTACTTCCACCGGAATCAGTTCTTGTGCGAGGCTGCTGAGTAGTGTTTGATTTACGTGAACGGTTTTCAGAATGTTTGCTACTCCCTTGATGCTCGGACGAACCAAACTTATCAAAAAGGTGACGATAGGACGCATCTCCATCACTCAAGTTAGTGGTTGACTTCGCAAGATCCTCGGCCCATGTGCGACTCAAATGTGAAGAGATGGTCTTGGACGGTTGTGGAAGCTGTTTCTCTAGATCAGTGGAACTGGAACCACTCGGCGTCAGTGCTTCTGAAGTACCGCTACACAATGGAGAATCCAAACCGTTCAACGGATGGGTTAGAGGAGAAATCACGATGAGCGGGTTGCTTTTGAGTTGTTCGTCGTCCAACAGACCAGATGGTGAACTGAGACGACTTGCAGCGGAAGGTTTACAGCTGGAGTGAAGACCAGCTTTCATCGCTATATCTGGCGCTGAAGGGGTTGTTCTCTTGACTGACCTTGAAACATCCATTGATTCATCTGAATCATCATTGGTCAAATCGATCTGGATTGTGGTCGAGTTACTTTTTTCACCTGCAGAAGGCGCTCTGTCATAAAGTGATCGATAGAAGAAAACGCGGGAGAGGGGAGTAAATTCATGATGCGATTCTATGAATTGACGAACCACAAGTATCCAACCATCTCTCAATTACGGGAAAAGGTCCTACTGCCAAATAAGAACAGCGGCTGATCTAATAGACACGAGGTAAGGAGTAGGGAAAATGGATTACCTTTGAAACTGGGTTATTGGAAGAGCGATCGTATGGAGCAAGCACCCTCGAAGGAGGCCATAAAGTCCCTTTCCCCCGGTACCAGGGAATCAAAACGGAAAACTAAACAGAATGCTGTCTCCTGTGTCTTATACGTCCGTTGGGATTTCCGATAATACTTCAGGCGAAATCATACACGGGGTATTCTAATCCAGCTACAAAAATCCAACCAAATGTCTCCGTTTTCCGACTATTCGAACAACCAAATGAATCTGGATGGCCTCCCAGTGAGGTTCGTACACGCACTGCCCAGGGTTTCAACATTTGTCACCGAAAAAAATTCGGCTGTTACTCTCAGGCGGCCAACTTAAGAGAAGGGTTAAAGCGTCTGAGGAGTCCCCAAAAAATACACCGAAATCGGTGTCTTCAAACAGCAGTCCATAGTAGAAGCCGTCTCGATACCACAGTCAACTACGAGTTCATCCTAACAATTTCTACAAGCTCACACACGTCCTTCGACCATTTGGCCGTACTCGGCAGGGCATTAGAACAGGGCACTTAGTGAGTCTCGTCAAAAAACAGTGAAGTCTTAGAAGCATGTCGCAGCCATATCGAGTGACTTTATTTTCAAAGCTGAATTGCCAGTGAAATAGCTTCAAAAATTTCCCCGATAACTCAGTAAGGTGATCATAGTGAACAACTAGTTCCCGTTGGGCTCATTTCCAATCCCAAGTGCATCTATAATTTATGTGAAAGCTTTGTTGTGAAGAATAAAAGTGAATAGGGAAGAAATATAGCTCTAGCCTATCAGAAACACCTCCAGACATTCATTCAGGCAATCTGTACAACACCGGCAAGAAGAAATATAGCTCTAGCCTATCAGAAACACCTCCAGACATTCATTCAGGCAATCTGTACAGACACCGGCAACAAGGACACCATTGACATAGATTATCAGTCTTATGAAGCAGCGTCTCCAACCATGCGCAAAAACATTACGAGGATCCAATTCTGGGAAGCGAGTCGCACAGGCCTTAACCGGACATTTCATAGATTTCTTGAGCCGTACATTATCAAACCATCGCAGCCTTTGGTTCGAGACACATTCCTTGAGTGGGGTCTCTGTTGAAAAAGCAAATACTAGATTTCTAGTTGCCTTGTTGGGATGTGGATTAAAAACACACCTGTTTTGAACCGCGTGCTTCGGCGGACGGGAACCATTGGCGGTGGCTGGCTCTACGCTGTCACTTTTTGTGGGACTCACGAGCGGTTGCGGTGCAATGCGAGGCGGACTCAGGGTGTCATCATCATCATCGTCGTCGCTCAAAATGATCACTTCAACATCCTTTTCAACGGGAGCCGTAACGGTGATGCAAGGAGTTATTGCAGCCGCCGACTGTTCTGATGTGAGTTCAGGCCTCATGCGGGTAGGAAGTTCCGAGGCTTTAGGTGAACTATCATTAACAGTAGGCGCAGTGACTTCAGGATGCACAGGAGATACTGGTGAAAGATTAGGACCACTCAGCAGAGGTGGAGAGATAGGAGTGGACTGGGGAGCCTGAGCGCTTGTGGTAGTAGTCGGTTGACTATCTGCACCTTCTTCGGGAGCTGGGCGCCAGTCACCATTAGGATCAACATGTACAAACGTCGCCGACGCACTTCGCAAATCTTCCAAAATGGAGAGAAACAGTCTGGAAAATGGAGAACAAACAAAAACCGGCGTGTTTATAGTGAGAAATTAGGTAGTCTCATGGAATGCATAGCAAAGGTAACGTCTTGTATTTAACCCGAAGTGTGCTTGCCTCACGAATGTGCAATGCTGGGAGTTGGGAAGTACTATTTCACACAGATCGAAACAAACCACGTCGGAACAACGGACGATATGTGTTTCATAGTAGATCGATTTCAAGAACTGGGTCCGGTTCTACGTCTCCATTTTAAGATGTCTACCAGTTTCTTGTGTACAACTGTGACCTCGCGAGCAAACGCCGGGCTTGACAATCATCATGGGAGCCAGCACAACAGTGGAAAACGCTAGTGTAAACAAATATATAGCTGAGATATTTCGGGAATACAGGGTTTGAGTGGTTTATGGTGAACTTTCGGTAGCTGCGTCAGCAACTCGGTGACATCTCGATACGACCAAATTGTAAGTACTCAAATATAAATCAGTAGCACAAAAAATCACAAATGGTGAGCTGGAAGGCAAAGATCGGTAGTGAATCTGACATCCGGGCATCAGGCATTACCAGGCACGTGGTTAGTGCAAGAGGGGAATAAGTAGGAGACAAAAAAAACTAACGTACAGTGCTTCAGTAGGAAGGAAGTCTTAAAAGGATAGATGAAAGTTGTTGGGGAGTTGGGACAGTGCGGCGCCACATGTTGGGGAACGGGAGGGTGTTAGATTGTCAATGCGAGAGTCGTACAGTTTTTCATCGTCCGACGCGGCTTGTAATACGATGTGATCCGTTTTCCATGAAACGGCTGCATAGGTCTAATCTGCATATTATCATCATCATCAGCTGTAAAAACTGCGTACTTTTACAGTGGCTGTAGCTGCCACAGCTGCGTACACCGATGATTTGAAAGGTGAGATAGGTAGCTGCGCATTGGAGGCGGGAGCTGATAAACTGGTGCGTAAATAAATATCTGTCAGTGGACTTTTAAGTAGAGGGATTGGGAAGAGAGCTATACGTAGCTATGCAATAGCCTGGACGCAAGAGCACCATTTAGGGCACGACTAGGCCATGCCTAACAATGTCTCTAACCATTGATGTGACCCGTCTCGGGGTCTCCATCCAGGAAGACGGTAGTGACCGGCGCAGCTGAGTTTGTTGGTGATAGCTTTTATACTTCGCTGCCAAGTAATTGTTTGACCCTCCCTAGCACGCTTCCACCTGCAATGTGAATGCTCGGGGGAACCTAAGTGGACTAACACCCAAATGAAAGTCGCGAAAAGCTTTTTCGACAGAGCTAGTTGACGAAATACGCCTCTGATTGTCCTGTCGGTGTAATACACAACTCACGGGGAGGATTGCCTTCGGGGTCCTACGCAAACGAAAACAACAGTATGAACTACTGGATAGCCTTAAATTCAATGAGGATGGTCTTGAAACCTAGGTTCGCCCGAAAGCACAACCGATGTAAGCGCCGCACTAGAACACGGTCAAGTGACAATGCAAAATTCAGCTGTCTGAATTCGGCCATACACTATCGAGGCGATTGATCAGGTCTGAAAATGTGAAAGCATGTGACTTGTACTTTCTCAATCAGGTCCACTCCATAGCAATTCGGTGGTAATTTTGATATCGGTGAGCCCATTGTGCGTACAAACTTGGCCCAACCACCGGTTTCACCTACGTCTGTCATCTGCGTTCAAACCGGCGAGGCAGATCTGCGTGTGTACCGTTTTCACTACTCAGATGACCCATATAGGAGGGTTGTAGTGGCTTTAATGGGATTTTCCACCATAGTAGGGTAGAATATCGTTCTGACTCCGTTTTCACTCCGCCCACATCAACTAGTTATGCAAGACTCCGTGTCGGTCAACTTTGAGAGCGTGTCCCGATCGGGGTCCTGTCCTGGACACGCACAAAGGACAATCTCGATTGTAAAGTATACAGTTTACGATCCACACCAGGTCACAGTATTTGTGGCATATAGTCGAAAACCGATACAGACAGGAAGTCATAAAACCAGCACTTACTCGTCTAACCGAAGATCGCGAAATGGTGCAGGTGTGCTGCAGATCGGGCATGTCCAACGCGGGCGACGGCGATTGATGGTTAGGTAAGAGGTCAAATCGAAGCACTGCAGATGTTCGCAACGAACCGAGCGTACCGGAAGCTAGAAAATGGGAAACGGTCGGAGAGACTATCAACGGGAAAACAAATGATGCGGGAGACATTCGTGGAAATGAGGCGTTCGGGGAATACCCGTACAGACTCGGTGACAATTAAGTCGAACAGATTTAGCGGCAGTTGAAACTGGGGCTAAATTCACAAACCCAAATTCTATACATCGAAAAGAACCAACACGGCGAAGCTCTAGCGCCGACATCCGGCGCTACAAATCCAGCTATAGCACAAAAACCGACAAAAGGAATATCATCTATCTAAACACGCTGCTAATCAGCAACTCGTGGCCGAACGGTTAGTTGTTGAAACCACTAGCTGGGAACTTGAGGGTGCGCATTGCTAATGATTACCAAAAAGGATGTACAGTGGTTGCCGGACTTCAGCATAGATTGGCTCCACTTACAGGACGAAATCGCCAATAAAAAACCTCAATCTCCTCACATTGCCGAATATCACTATAGAAAGATTAAAGATAAAGAAATCGTTCAGCTGTAACACCCTTTCTGTGCCTAGCTGCCATGCCACGAGCACTACCACTGCCAAGCGACAGGGCTGGGATACTGACTGGGAAAGAAGACATTTGAGCATTGCAAAAATAGATCGTAAGAACACAAACTAACAAAGAAACAAACGCTGTATCACACACCAAACGAGCAGAATCTGTTTAGGTCGACCCTGGACTATTCTACTGATCGGACACAAGTTACAAGACTAAGTGGTCGTAAATCCGTGCATATTCCAGCTGACGTTGTTGCATTCCAAGGATGTGAGTTATCTGCATTTTTCTTTCCTCTTCGTATCATTCCCATATATTTCTGTCATTCGCGATTCCCTAATTCAAAGTGGGTACACCGACGATGCTTGGAGCAGGAAAGGGTATCAGTAGCCGTGCCTGTTCCTCAATCTTCTTAAAAGCAACGAGTCAGTTCTTCAGTGATTTCAAGTAGGCCATATGAGGAGAGGCTCGGTAACTCTATACTTGTGACTGACGTTCATCTTCTAGAAGTAAGCATCATAAAGTTACTGGGTGAACATTATCCAGAAATCTCATCTGATTCCCTCATGTTGAAAGAAGCCCGACGAGTTATCTATTACTCAAAGAGACTTAGGATATAGCACAAAATTTTACAAGATTCACAACTCCATAAATACTCCCACATGAGGTGCATTGTTCCCTGGCATTACAGAACTCCTCGGGGTCAGCAAACCAGGCTTCCAAGTGTACTGAAATTTTAAAGGTTGAACTTGTTGAGTTGCTGGTAAGCAAATACGATGATACTTGCTCACACACCTCATCTTGCAATGTTTGGTAGAAATTCAACTGCTAGAACATAATCCAAACTCAGATTGTTGTCTGTTCGTAGTGTAACCCTGCTCGGCTCTATATCGTCAGACATCCCTAATATGGCCGTGCATCAGTCTACTGCGCAGCAGAACAATCATGTGTTGAAACAATGCCGTAAGAGTACGCCCACGCGTCTGGACCACGTCTGATTTCATCAGGTGCCGGGGCCACGTCAAGAAAGTACACATGCATTTCACGCTCACCTGGTGGCCAAGGCAACAAGTGCATCCCGGACTCAGGCTCACAGACGGCGCTCAGTATTTGCACAATGGAATGGAATTTTCGAAAGCTATAACGTGCCCTGATGGACTAAAGCAATCGGGCAAATGAGTTGAGTACCAGCCAAACTTTTGAGCCCGATTTAGACATACTGGGGGGTCTCAGCGATGCTGGGAAGTTATTCCACCAGACTTTTCCTTCAGATGTGTATGATTATTTCAGTGGAAAATGAAATTTGGTGAGCTGCAAAAATGTGACAAAATACAACATTTTGGCGCAAAAAGTTTTGCTCCACTTGTGAAGGTTTTGCAGCTAAGAGCATTGTGCGGCTAACGGGCCCCAAGACAAACCGTGACAACGAAAAAAACCGATCGAGAACCGGTGTGGGCATGCAAGAGACACTGTTCGGTTGAAAACAGTTCGACCAACAAACATGGTCTCAAGTGAATAATACGTTATTACAGCTTTTTTCTGGCAGCCTTCTTTTCTTCCGACCATCACTCGGTAGAATCAGGGAACGTGGAGAGATACAACAATCCCCTTGACGATAACTCGATGAAGAATCACCTGCGATCAAGGCTTTTTGCTTGATAAGCAACCCCAGCGCCAACAAAATTGAGAACGTCCATCTCTATAAATGATCTACATGACATCACCGTAATTTCGTATGCTGAAAATTCACCTTATCGTGCATTGATATTTCTGTGATTTGACTTGAGCTATCTACCTAAAAATATAAGCCAGAATTTAACTACTAGCGCTGACAGTTCCGTCAACAACCTCGTTTCCTCATAGTGATACGTCTCGCGACTAAGCAAAAAATTCGGTTCGCCTTATTAGGGGGATCTTCGTTTGCCCTTGGCTAACTGAATTACACCATTTGCTTGTTTCAATTAAAGGCTGTGTATACAGTAAACTTGCTATTCGTCATTCCATGCTGAGTTGAAGTAGGATATCGGAAGAAGGGAGCTTAAGCTTTTCTCAAAATCGTTGGATAGGCTGTGAGGATTTCGGCAAAACACAATTTCAACCGCCTTTTGGAGGGAGAAACACTAGAGTGACATGGGTCGAAGAAAACAGGTGACGGAGGGATACACGTTCTAACATGCACACATACGGTTGGAAAGGCTAAGCACAGTCTACAAGTGATGGGGACGATCACTCGATGCATATAAAACGACTACTTTACGCATGAGTTGATGTCTTACTCTCCGTTAGTCCATTTAGCAGCTCCGTACCTTTGAACACGTTTGTGTACGTAGGTAACCTGATGGAGCGATTCAGTGTCAAATATTGATCCGGGTGTTCACCGGCTGATTGACGAGTCCTAAATGTTTCAAATTCGGTCCCGGGCGTGGGGGGAGCGAGTGGTCTGTAAGATACGACTGTGGACTACACAGTGAGGACTGGAGACGCTCAACTACGAACTACCGTAGTAAGTAAACTTGTAAGTAAACTGGACGTAAGCTGTTGTATAAGAGATTGTGGCAATGAGAGACGCTTTCCAATAACAGTATTTTACGCCTAGTCACGTCACTGCATCGTATTGAAAGACGAAACAATAGCATTTCTACAATTACGAGACCGACAGTCTGTTAGGCGAGCAACAACAGGGCTATTGCGGCCGGATATTTCTAAACAAGGGCTCAAGATGAAGGCATTTGAAGCAAACCACAAAACTCCGCAAAGTAACAGTCACCCGCACAGCTCGTTTATCGTTACCTAGTGTGCTCACCACGAAAGCTCATTGGGTCCCAGAATGTGTCGCATGGATAGGCGCACTGACTGGAAGGCGATTGGTTGAATTTTTCAGTAACGAGGGTCATTTTCACAAACAGGAGACAAAACCTCGATAATTGCAAAGAGGCTTTCGCAGTGAAAATGTACCCAAATGTCCATTCACAAGATGAATATACGAATTGTCTTGCAGTATGTTTACGAAAAATATAACTGGATCTGCTCAGGAACCCTCTATGGCGACTACTTGTGTGACCATAGACGGGTTGTGACTTCGATTGACAACTCAGTTGGCAAAAAACAATTTAGATTGAAAGGTTTCGGTTGAAGAACACTTGTTCAGGAGATGGACAACTTTCGCATAGACATATTTCGAGCCTGCGTGCCTGAATTTCATATGCGATTCATCATACCTATGCCTAATAGACTAATAATTTATGTCTGACAGTTCCACCATTCCCCTGCGGAAATTCCGCAGACATTGACGTAAGACATTAGCGTAAGCGTAAGTTGATACAGAGGAAAAGAGGAGTTCGTAAATGTGCAGTCTAACTAAATAAAAAGAGATTGGTGGTTAGAGTTCACTCCAGGTGTGTAAAAGGATGAAAAGAAAATAATCGTTCAGCTACAACACCCTTTCGGTGCTTAGCTGTCATGCAACCCGAAGGAGGCACGAGGGCTAGGCTACTGCCAGGTTGCGCAAGCCTAGATAGGGTAAGTCGAGAGGCATAGGTCGGATTCGAACCACGGATCTTCCGGTCAGTAAATTCGCGCTCTAACCACTGAAGCATCTCATCCCTCCAGGCGTGTACTTTCGTTCCGATGTTATTGACCAGAATTCACAAGACGATGCGGTCTGATCTACTTTGGTTTCAGATACCGGTGGGGAATATGTCATAGATAAAATGACTTCTGTGTCATATGATAGAGATACTAATCAGAATGACATAAAACGACTGTGTGAAACTCACCTCGATTCGCGTCCGAGTTAGTGGACAAAGAAGACAGATGGGAATATATTCCGCAATTTCGTTGTGTTCATCTGCAATGCACAAGTCCTCATCTACAGATGCTTCGAATTTGGATTTCAAGGCAGACTGTGCGTTTGTTTGGAAAAAAAGATACCGATAAGCTCTCGACTCATGACGTGAACAAAACATTCAATCAGGTAAACCTTAAAAATCTGGACTTTTTGTGAGTGTTGCGACGAAACTTCAATTGGGGTTTACGGGAATATCGTTCCCAATAACGGATTTCGGGGACGCATTATTATGGACTACACGGTGACGCATATAATGAAACGTTATCAGTTGAACACGAGGAGCCTCAGCGTGGTCAAGAGAAGGGAGTTTTGAAAGTCCGATGGCTGTACAAACGTTTTGTCACCAATCGAGGTGACATTATCAGCCCGCAGTGAGTTGGCGGTGCATCGGTGGTCAGGCAATGAGAAGTGTTGTGCCTGTGTTTATATGTTTTGTTGATGCGGAGTGGCCTGTGATTGTGATTGGATTATCGGTCCACATACTACTACAAGCGAACGATCGCCAACTTATTCGGACAACTCAAGCGGAACAAACGAATCAGGTGAGGAGAATGATAACTACGGGTCAACAGGTCAAAGGTAACGTGAAACGAGTCGGGGGGGGTGGTCATGCTCAAACGTCATCCAAACGACCTACCATAATCAGAGGCCACACCTCCCGCATCAACAAGACATATAGTCTGAAGCAGGGCAATACAGTACGCCTCCAACTTATACGGGTCAACAGGTTAAAGGTAACGTGAAACGAGTCGGGGGGGGGGGGGGTCATGCTCAAACGTCATCCAAACGACCTACCATAATCAGAGGCCACACCTCCCGCATCAACAGGACATATAATCTGAAGCAGGGCAATACAGTACGCCTCCAACTTACTACGCACTGATGATGCAACCTTGGTTAGTGACGAGAAGGTCGCAACCAAATCACCCAATTCAGTGAAAGGAAGAACGACCACACCTGAGGTTTCACAACAAGCAAAGTGCGAGTTGCTACGACAAAAATTGATAGAATCAAACCATAAACTCATGCTTGCGGACAAGCTGAACGATTACGAAACACATGCACTCATTAAGGCAGCTACGTATAGCCCGGCAGACTAATAAAAGACAGAGTTGCTTCTTGGATACAGGAAAGCTGTGGCATTTGCCAAACATAAACACCAACTAGACACAAGCTTGTCTGCTGTAGGCAGCCTAAAATCCATCGTGGAAAAGAAACGTGGCTGGTAGGCGCAGAAGAGTGGGACGGACTTTCGGGAATTCATGATAGGTAGTTGTAATGCGTCGACAGTCTGAAGTCCGTCAAAAAACATATGTACCATTTAATCAGCTCATTGTTTCACAGAACTAAGCAACAATAGCTCACCTTTACGCTAGCTGCTGACAAAAACCTTGCCGGTGGTATACAATTATCATACGCACCATGAACGCCAATTCTCATCTCAGACGCACTTCCATCCATGTTCATCATCAACGGAGTTATGTCCGGACCATGTAGACCGTCCACAACTCGCCCATCAAGTACAGCACCTCCTGGATACTTGCGGTCAAAAGTGGTTCGAAGGTCTGCGATAGTGTAAGCCCGATCCAGAGTAACCTGGATCAGAGGAAGACCGATCAAATGACATAATAGGGGGCTGATTTGACCGGTTGCTACCAAATCCAACAGCATTACGGATTGGTCCTCCAGTGGAGCATGTAGCCAGTTCAACTCGATGTCGACAAAACGATTCCTAACCGGGTTGTTTGGTTTCAGAGGAAGCTGAAAGGATTTCCGGAGGGGAGGTGAGGATAGTAGGAGACTCCGCCAATTGTAGAGAACCGATAAAATAGCGGTCAAAAGTGATGAGAAACTTCTGTGAGAAATGGAGTTATAACAACCCATAAAAGCATGCACATTTATGGGGACATAAAACCACCACTAGCAGAGCCATCGAGTCAGGTATATAAAAGAACCCTTATATAGAAACTGGACGACATTCCCCTAAGAGCAGATATAGCAGTAAGGGTGACCGTAATATGATCTTTGAAACACATGTGTATTTGCTGGGGGACGGGGTTAAAGTCAGTCTGAAAACGCCCCACAAGGTGAAAAGGCGATGCAATGTTGTGAGTAGCATTGTGCGATTCGTTCTGCTGTGTATCAGTTATTTTTACTTGTGCAGTTTTCACCATTCGACGACCATCGATGTGGTCTGTCCTATAACCTGCGCTTGTGATTTATGCTTACTGTACTACGTGCAGATCAATGTGTTCCATCGATTAGTTTCTATTTCACACTGTACCGCTTGCTCATTGGTTCACTCACAACACGTGACAAATGCGCATTGTATGCACCACGGAACATACTACTTTTATGACCTAAATACGATAATATCAACAGTAGCGCCCGAAACATGCAGAAAGTCAGAGCCGACAAGTGGTTAGGGTCATAACAGAAGGGCTCAAAAAGCCTGTTCAAAACGTAAGCTGCGACCGGGACTATCAGTCCGGTCGAAACCGCCGACGAAAAAGATGAAGTGTAAAAACACAACGAGGAACGAAAACCAGCTGCGCGATACGCTTTAGAAGAATGGATGAGTTCAGAAACGAACGAAGAGCATAGGCGGTAATCATCATCTTCATCAGAGACAACCACAGGCGATACAAAAGTTGATGACCGAGGTGCATGACATCCTGTTGACAGCTATTGTGAAGATATCGTGAGTGTATCAGTGGTTTATGTCAACCTCCAGGGGTGATCGAACGGTAACATTAACAGGGGGAAGCTTAATGTTCAGATGGAGAACTATCGGCGAGATTCAGAATTGAGACGAGTGAGTTCTAAGGTTTTGATGTGCACATCACGTGACATTGTGAAGATATCGTGAGTGTATCAGTGGTTTATGTCAACCTCCAGGGGTGATCGAACGGTAACATTAACAGGGGGAAGCTTAATGTTCAGATGGAGAACTATCGGCGAGATTCAGAATTGAGACGAGTGAGTTCTAAGGTTTTGATTTGCACATCACGTGACATTCGTAGGTTTGGGTTCTTAATCTCGCGGCTATATCAATACGGACGCAGGGATGACCGGGTCCCCTCCGTCTTGTCATTGTTTCTAGTTTTCAAGCGTTTTATCCAATGGTTTCTTGTGACTCCCAGAAAATGAGCAGGACGCAAATCTTCGAATTTTTACGTAAGTGAAACGACAGATGAAAGTTCAAGTCAGTCTGTAACACAATCCCTCTTGCTCGGATATCAGGCACTCAAAAGCTTCGTTTGAGTCACGCGCAGCTATACTACTCGAGCCCAAGCCTGGAAAGGAGCAGTTGAGATGATGAGCTTGGGTCTGACCCACGGACCTTGCGGTCACTAAGTTCTCGGCAAAACAACCAAGCTATTTCGAGCTCGAGTGAGTAGCTTCCACTATAAATTTATTGGTGCTATATGGCGCGCAAGATTCGCAAGCTTTTCCTGAACGGGCCTCTTTATGAACCAAACCTACCAAAACCACCTACCGAATACTTTTCCCTCCAATACATCTCCTTGAGTCGAGTCTCGCCCTCGATGGAAAGTACTTTCTTCAACGCCGCAAGATGCTGGGTGTTTTGTTTGCGTGACCGCGCAGTAAACTATACCTTGTAGGGACCCAGTCACCCACATACTTGACTGTTCAACTCAGTCGCTCACTGGATCGCGAGGCTTGTCTATTTTCTCATACGCACAAACACGTTGCGTTAAGCTGACTCATTGGACATCGATTGTCTGCACCGCCTAGTCAGCGTAGCAGCCACTCATGTGCCGACGCGCCCACGTATACGCACTGGGACCTACNACCTACATAAAGGCAAACCGAACCCAGTCAAGACACACAGACTCGCGCGCGCGCAGGGAGCAGGACGTCAACCTTTCCACAAGACCACGGACAACCATGGAGTACGTGTAGCAGTCTAACTGCGGAGAAAAACACGTTCCCGCCGTCCGGACTTCCACCAAGGGACTCTCATATACGATAAGTTCCCTTTTTGACTTGCTCCCATTCTCGCACTGTATTTATTTTTATACGTGTCACAGAAATACTAAAAACTTCTATTAATGCACACATACACCTTCTGATTTGTATTATGGCTATCGCCAACTGTGCACTAATAACCTAAGCACAGGAACTTGAGTAAAAATATGGGTTGACCGAGGCGACCAGGGCGGACTGTCCGACGTTAGATGAAAAAAGCAACTGCCCAGACCGAGATGTATGGTGGGTCATGAAAGTTGGGAGGTAGACAAACCGAAAGAAAATTATTCCAACTTAGATCGTGACTGGTTCAAAAAGGTCTATAGTGAGCGGAACAGTCACTAATAAAAAAGTTTCGGCCACATTTCGAGATGAAGGACGCTTGAGTCGTTAGGCTAGACAATTTCAACAATTTAAACGACCACTTGAAATTGCTCAGTTGGGTTCACGATGCGCAAGAACAGTAAACCTAGAACCTGTGACGGCCTCGGAAACAAACGAACGGCTTTTGTCCCCCAAGCATCACCGAGATGTTGGTGCCCATCGGTTCTGTTTGAAGAGTGAGGTGAAATCCCGCGTAGGCGATGACCCAACTTATTTGTTTGCGTTTGGATTAGAGAGATCATCCCGGTCAACCGGAGTGATCTGATAGCAGTGCCCATTTAGAAAGCTCTCGCAGTGAGCGTGACGATCACAAAGGAATAAGCTTGACCCAAGAAGCTATTTCTGCCAAAAACAGCTGAAAAACAAATAGATCAGATTAAATCCAGTTAACTGATCTGAATCCAGTTCCAGATGAGTAGGTTGATGCGTCCTGTCGATCACCCTGGCACATAGAAGTATATGTATTCCGCAAGAAGACTGATGTGCTGCAAGACATCAGTAGCATGTTGTGGATAGTGAACACTAACTTTTTGCGGCGAAGTAGAGCTTACAGTTCAGTGCACACATAGGACTTTGGACTACGGAGAACTACGATGAACCCACTTAGCTCCACAGTATTTGCCGCAATCATCTCAGGGGCACCACAGACGTGGCGACAGCTAAGATAATTTCAGTACGTTCGACACTGCTTGTGTCAGAACAAGTAGTATAAAATATTACGTGACCAACTGTTTGCTGATTCGGGAATGTTTCCACGGACACTTGCCCGTTGGAGAAACATCACACAACCTAAGTTACCACTGAACAGCCGTAACGTTTTGCATGGAAAGTTATTAATCTTTGCGGAAGCACAGTTCAGTGATCAACAGCCCGAACGTGATCACTTGGAGGACACATGACCGATCTTTCCACATCCACTTGACAGGTCAAAATGATGATGAAAGCGCCCGTATTGCTGGGCTTTCTGGAATCCAACCACACCCTAATCGCGAGCTGCCTATATGGGCGTCCATTTCCAGCTTTTACCGTTGCTCATCTAAGAGCCAAAATCGAACGAATAAGAGTGGGTAGGCTGGTTTATTGTATGGCTTGGAACGAAACGAGGGAATTGGTAAGGTGGTAAGGTCGTATTTCATAGGAATTGTTATATCTGACTGCTGTCCCCGCTCCAGTACCTCGTGTCGGGAAAAGACACCCAATAAGCAACACGACTGCTGTATTGCAATAAGCGAGTTTGAAAGCACAACGGACTCACATTATATATTGAGGGAGCACTGTCTGACTTTGATCCAGATCTGTCTGATCGACGCTTAGTGGAGTTGAGGGTCTCAGTAGGTTCCGGGTGTTCTAAAATGATCTTCAGGAATAGGACCTTCTCGACATATTTCGGAACTGAAGGATAGCTCTATAAGGCCGTTTAAAAATGGTCTTGGGCCAGAGAGATTACTGTACTATCAAGCGGCCCTCAGTCAGAAATAGGAAGCACTCTATCCATGAGGGCCAAAATTCGGTGAGCTCAACTGGTGATTATCGTCAGACGTTTTCCAACATGCAGCGGACGTTGCAGATTGCAGTCGCTGGGATAGCTCTTGAATTATGGCAGACGCAAACATAACATGGACGAGATGGCCCAAGTGGCTAAAGCGCGAATTTACTGACCGGAAGGTCCGTGGTTCGAACGTGACCTCCGGCTCTCGAATTCCCCTATCTAGGCTTGGACAACCTGGCAGTATCCTACCCTCGTGCAACCTTCGGGTGGCATGGCAGTTAATCACCGAAAGGGTGCTACAGCTGAACGATTTTTCAAAATATAACTGTTTAGTTCAAACAAGCTATACTCCAAACTATAACGTGTCTCCAGAGCCGATGTACTCCCATCATTCAGAAATGAAGAAGCTATTGGAAGGTAGGAAAATTCACGTCAACAAAAGCACATACTAAGTTGCAGGAACATCCTTCATATTAACAGATGGTATGTCTGGCATCGATCATAGCTCAAACACAACAGCAGAGTCCAGATCAGCCATTCTCCACCGCAAAGCAAGCAGCGTTGCAACATATGATCCACATTCAGAAATCCCCATAGATCCAACCGTTTTAGTATGTTAGTAATATCACCATCGCGAATCGGGAGGGTGTAGACACAAAGGAAAAGTTACTGTCACTGCGAGTTTCCTGTGTATTTGATGGAATCTGTAGCATGACAAGCCTTCCTCTAGAATCATAGGACGACACGTAGTTCAAGATGAGCTTCGGTCGAGTGCATCAAAACTTACGAGCTTATCAAAAAAGATGTAAGAAGTTGGCTTTTCCAGTTACATGAGATAAGCTCAGCATACAGGAAGTAGTTTCTCTTATGAAACTGGGATGTTAGACCTTGCCCTCTTTATATTCTATGCCTAAAATAGCGGGACACTCAAAGTGGTTTTGTCATAGACCAGCCAAAAACAGTATGAGGTGATACCAAACATAAAATAAAAATAAATGAATCATTCATCTGTGGCACTCTTTCGGTGCCAAACTGCCATGCCACCCAAAGGAAGCACGAGGGCTGGGATATTGCCAGGTCGCCCAAGCCTAGACAGGGGAAGTCGAGAGGCAGATGTCGGATTCGTACCACGGACCTTCCGGTCAGTAAATCCACGCTATAAGCTCTTGGTCCATCTGGCAAGCATACCTTAGGCTGATAATCCATATCAGCTTGCTCACCTTATCCGTGATATCAATGGACAGACGTAATCGCTTGCCCAAACGTTGTGCTTGGCCACCATGAAAGATTGGATCAGGAAGTTGTACCACTCGACCAGCCACCCGAACATTCAAGCACCTTGGGAGAGATTCCATCGTCAGGGCGCGGAAAACACGGGTTCGTTGTTCCGGTGATACGGTCGAGGGAACATAGAAGTCATTTGTGGCCCAACCTAGCCGAAGAATGACACGCCATTCAGGTCCGGGTTGCCTGTTGAAAGGACCAAAGAACCAGATGAGTCACAAGTCCAGCATCGATATGAAACAGAGCATAGGTATCGGGAGCAGCAGGATTCACGCAAAGTTCTCCCGAAAAAAAAAACAGCCACGGGAGATAGTGCGTGGAGGGGAGCACAGACGAGTCAAATAGAGGTTGTAACTAAAACTGAACACAAACTTGTGCTCGCTAGCGTTCCACTTTCGTGCTCTTGAAAAAGACAGGACAGTGCACATTGGATATATGTGGTTTCTGAAAACCGAACTTTACACGATTGGGAAAGGTGCACGAAGAACACAGCTATGCGCTTAGTAACAACCTGTAAGCGGCTTGTGGTATTAGCCAAAGACGCCATCCAACCAATCTCAACACTGGTTTAATTCACCGTCCCTCAGGTTAGCATCAGGTCGGCCTGAGTGACGCACAATTAGGTAAACCCGATCATCTGGATGGTTAAAAACGCGTACCGTTTAGAACCAGAAGGAGACACATCTGAAACATCTCTGGATGTAGACGTAAAGTTGCTACAAACTCCTCGGCAGCCAACGACCGGTTTCACCATTCTTGGGGCTCATCACATAGGCACGGTTCGCAATTTTCTGCCAACCTTATGTTCCACTTGGACCAAAATTGGTCAAGTCCGCCTCCCTGATGATCCCCGTGGACGGGGAAACAGGGTGTTGACTTTTGAAAAGTCTTCAGCAACTTTGTGATCAATAGTGCGTCTAGAAAATGAACTACAATATCGTACCAACTGAAACACTAGGTTACCTCGTGAAGACTACTGTACACGAGAGACTACGCTGAATTAAGCAGTCTCCCGGTAAAACCAAATAAGTGTGCAGGTGAAAGTATTTGGTGAGTGCCTGCAAATAGTCGCGCTGGCCACTGACTGATTCGATCGATATGAAACCTCTCAAAAGGACGGAATCATACGAAATGACTCGGATGGCAACGCCCCACTTAATTGAAAGCTCTACACAGTTTTCGCCAAGTAACCAAACATTCATTGAGAAACGTTGTCTGCCTGAGTCACAAATGTAATTGATGAAACGGGAAACTACAATTAACTAGACCGAAAGAAATGATCCCACAATTGCACACTCCAACGAGAAACTACAATTAACTAGACCGAAAGAAATGATCCCACAATCGCACATTCCATGTAGTTCCGGGATAAACTACTGAGATGTAGCCCCATGGTGATTGTTCTCCTACTACATGGAATTCGTTAGTCGCTCGTTTCGTATCTGCCAAACGGTGAAGTAAAGACTTGTGTTTTAAACGTCCTCACGGTGTAGAAATAATCATTGCGACGCAATCACGAACTATGAAAATACATGTGCTACTCGTTTAATATTCGGTGGTTGCAAATTTGGTCGCCGGCATTGCTCATGAAGCGAGCAGCGAACTGCAAACTCGCAGTACACCCAAGAGGTGAAAAAACCGCAGTGGAGTGAGGTCGGTGGCTGGGGCGGACGCGGATTGCTCTTGAACAAGTGAGCTGGCAACCGTCCAAAAAAACTCAAAAAAAATACAGCGTTCCAGAAGACCGGATTGCTCTTGAACAAGTGAGCTGGCAACCGCTCCAAAAAAAACAAAATACAGCGTTCCAGAAGACCAGGGGTTAACTCTGAATCCTCCCGTCAAGACGATGTGCCCGAGAACCCGTTCAATCTATCGTGGCGAAAATGCAGCCGATCAGACCGCAAAGTGGTCACGTGGAGGTTCGATGCAAATCGATAACCAGGACAGTTAGGCTAGTCGCAACTTGGGGCCATCGGGGCAGTCAGTCTGTTTCTCAATCCCGAGCGATCGATACATTATATTGGGTCTCGTTCTAATCCGAGATTTGACCTTCGCCAGCCGACGCATACCCATGAGGACAGACACACCCAACACGGCGTGCCTGTCTACCTGTCGCTGAATCGCGAGAAAAGAAGGCACGCGCATTGTGTGCGCACGTGTGGCAAAGTGGTGGAGCAATGCAGAGCGCTCACAATCCACTAAAAGATGATTGGATGATGACATAAAATTGCGTGGGTGTGAAAACGCAGACAGACAAGGCTTTCCAGCGCCATTGTCAAATCTGTTCGATCGTGAGACGCGCGTTCACGCGTGGTGCGGCTGGCACATAGTATGCCGAACGTGCGCAAGCCAACACGCGCTGATGGTGCGTGCCAGATTGGTAACGCACAGATTAAGAACGACGAAGGGACTCGGACCTGTGGATCGGGGTTCGAGCTAAGACATCAACGATTTTATGTTCGCCGCCAACACCCATGGAGTGAAATTTTTGCGCAAAGTTGATGCTATTCGTGGATTAAAACTGGCAAGCCACAAGCACCACTGTAAGGCTTCAATGGATGCTTACAAATCGCTTTGCCTGGGTGTAGCGAATCAGCTTATGGGTAAACAAAAGTGACAAATGGCTGCACTTGTGTCCGAAACCAGTGCTACGCAATACCTGTCTTCACCAGTGGTGAAGAATGAAAACAAGAACATGTCCATGTTATTCCAATACCAACTTTAACCAAAATATGAACTCCAAAATGTTACTCTCCAATTTGCCATTTCGAAGGGGCCGCAAACAATACTATGAGTGACTGGTTGCAGGAACCAACAAGAATAATTCCACTGTTTGGAAATCACAACAAGCTGAGATGAATAAGCATGGTGAAAGGTCAATCGCTAAGTTAGTGACGTCACCGTCCAGAACCCGACTTGAGTTTAAACTAACTTTGTAGGATGGCGAGAGCAAACATACTACGAAGCACGACATTCGACTCGACCAATTCATTGTGAGCTATCAAGGTAACTCGTCCTCGCATGGAGAAGATACATCAAAATGTCATTTGTGATAACGGTTCCGATGACGGTACGTTGCAGTCCAAGAATGGACAGAAATATCTGCGGTCTAATCAAGCACTGTGTTAAGCGATCCATTGTCACTGGACTGCAGATACGGTTCATGCAATGCGGTAACTAGGGAGGGACAAGAAAAGGTCAGTTTAATGGTAACTAGACGATTCTTACAAGTTCCTCATCGGACCATAATTTAGGTGGCCATTCCGTCAAATTCCAGTGACAAAAACGGGAAAAGATTAGTGATGCGAGGAAGCCTTCCCGCGGTTGAATTATTTAAAGTGTATAATGGAAGAACGGGTAGCTGCTGTCATTGAGAACGAACCTGTGACAATCGTCTACGTTTCCTCTTTCTTGGACGCTAAGTGAAAATAACACTAACACGCTACCTATAGGCATGAGCGATCAAAATGGGCACCGCACTTATCAGGGATATTTGTGTATTCGTCATGTCTCCTCGTGAATACAAATCCTATTCACCACGTAAGATTAATTTCGGTTTCCACCAAAATCAGCGAAACAGTTCGGATGCTCAAGAATTCTAACCTTCCGGGTAGATTAGTTGGGGCAGGGGAAACGTTATCGAACTTCCAGATGAACAGAACACTAAGATGTATTAGTAGAGCTAATCCAATGTTGTGCTTCGAAGCGGAGTTCATTCATAGCACACGTTTCAAACGTTTCAACCATCATATCGCACTGAGTGATGCGGTGGAAAACTAAAGGGAATAGGAGGAGAATGCGTAGGGCAAGAACTACCCACCAATCAGAGCATGAAGGTTTAACGGGTGCCCACTCCGGTTTGACTATCCGAATGAAATCGAAATAAAGTGGAACTAGAAGAACGAAAGTAGAGTATGGATGTGTTAATTTATTCATAGATCACTTTAAGTTGCTCCCTAAATGTCATGACGAGTAAAAAGACTCTATATCTACTTAGAATGAGGCTGAAATGTGCGCACGTGTACCGATTAATCCTGTGTTCTCTTCACGTCATACGCATCTTAACGATTATTATATCCGGTTGAATAGTGTCTGTTCATCGGGCGGACTTCCATTCATGTAATCCGATATAATTCAGTCAAAGTCAGCTGTATGCCGGTAGCTTTATCTTCACTTCGCAATCCGGCGCAGCGGCAAGAACGACGGAACTCACACAAGCAGAATGGTTGCAAAAAAGGCGGAAGACCAGTAGCAGCAACAATGCGCGGAGTAGCAGACGGAATTCCTGAAGAAGTACAGGACGTCCTTAGAAAAAGACAAAACTTGAGGTGTGTGACTGGACAATTCTACGACGTCCGAAATTCGCACTACATGAACAAAGTGATCGCAACCAAGACCCACATAATTTTGTTGGCTTTTCGGTAACTGAACTATTACCTGGAACTACTGCACAGTTGTGCAACGACCAAAGGGTAACCTGCAGGTAATCAATCACGACCATGACTAACTCAACTTCAGATGAATAGGGCTTAGTCCTTCAAATGGATACGTAACAAGGGGAAGTACCGTGAAGCTTAAAGGTACATTAAATGGTTAAATAGGCGCAGCACTTTACACTTTGCAAGTGTGAAGCGCGTGCAGCAGAGTCATCTAGGTTATTTAAAATCGTTTGTATTTGGGAAGGATTTGAACCAAGGAGAGCAATATCGTCCGTATACTCAATGTCTGTAAGGGAACGTCCCGGGAGCATTTCGACTCCCGATGTTTCAGAGGCAGGCACAGGCATTTCAAGCAGCATATCAATAACAAAGTTGAAGAGGAAAGGGGAAAGAGGACAGCCTTGTCTTACATCACTGGATGTAGTGAACTCAGACGAGGGCTTCCCGTATACTCGCACGCGTCCACAGGAGCTCGCATACAGTGCCCTCATAAGGAAGAGGAATTTAGAAGGGATACCTTTGATCGCCAGACACTGCCAAAGTTGCTGACGATCGACAGAATCAGAGGCAGCCTTCAAATTCAGAAAAACGACCAACAAGCAATGTCTGAAAGAGTGGCACTGTTCAAGGATGTGTCCCAAGGTGAAGATATAGTCGATTCGTCCTCGACCGGGGTGAAACCCAGCTTGACTCTCAAGAATCTGTCGCTCCCGATAATCCAACAATCTGCGCAAAATAATGCCAGAG